TTTTCTGTCCCCATTGCCTTTTTCAGTGTACATGTTTAGCAGGTAAAAGTTTATTTAGCAAGTGTGTGAATGGGAAATTTCACTAACCATTCAAAACATCAAGGGTTATCATCCATATCTTCTAAATATATTTTATAATAGGAAGTTGTACTTTTCCTATGAACTAATTTTCTCAAAAATATTACAAGCTTGAAGATAAAAACAGGACTGTCTTAAAGTCATAGTAAGACAGATCTTAAAAATCATTTTCTATGTTGTGTCTGAAGTTCAAATTCTCCATTCAACACTCCCCTTATAGAAGATATTTAATGTATAGATACAGTTTGGAGTCTTTAGTATCACCACTCCATAATCACTCTTGACTAAATGTACTGTTATGTTTTCTGAGCAGGGTCTCACTGTATAGTCCTGGGTGACCTAGAACTTGCTGTATAGACCAAGGTGGCCTCTAGCTCACAGAGATCTGCCTACCTCTCTCTCCCAAGTGCTAGTATTAAAGCGTGCACCTCCACACCCAGCCTCTTACAACTGTCTAAACTTAAAAGGCACTGCTCTTGAATGTCAGAGTTGAGTTTAGCAGATGTGTGCACCTGCTAACTACATCCTCAAGACAAGAGACTATTGCTTTCACCCTAGAACATGCCTGGCTGCCCTTTCCAGTTGGCTTCCTCCCATAGCACTAACTTCTAATTCTGTTTTACTTGTTCTTGAACTTCATGCATATTCTCCCCCCCTCCCCCTCTGGTTTTTTGAGACGTATTACCCAGGCTGGCTCATGTGTAGCCATTGTATAGCCATGGGTGACCTTAATTGACCTGTTGGCTTCAGTATCCCAAATGATGGTATTACAGGCATACACCACCATGTCTAGTTTATGGGTTGCTAGGGATCAGACCACAGTCTTCATATGTGCCAAGCAAGACTGTACTAACAGCCCTCAATGTATTGTTTTTGAGGCTCACAGATAACCAGAGCATTTGTATTCCTGTAATTAAAGTGAATAGCAAGTTCTGATGCTTCATGGTCTCACACACAGAGGAGTCTGATGCTCCCTTCAGCATATGAATTAGCTTTATTGTATCACCACTTTACATGTAAATTAAGTTGAAAACATAAATAGTAAAGATACAATCAAATATGTCCGAGATCTTGATACTGGTTCTGTAAGGCGAGGTTGTTTTTAACAAACAGTAATTTTGACTAGCCTACAATAAGGATAGTCTATTTCCTTGCCTTGTATTTTTCAGCCACATGAGTATTTAATTTTCCTTTACATCTTGTGTCTTAATAGAGACTGATAGCTGTCTTCAGCATGCACTTTGGGGTAAGGGCAGTAAGGAGCCCTGATGTCTCTAGCCTCCTCTAAGATGAACTGGCAGTGTGTCAGGGAAGTCCTGAGGATGGTACTGCTTAACACAGTTCAGTACAGTTGGTTCTTGCATAACCTTTAGAAAAATCATACATAGAACATCCCCGTCTTTATAAATAAACATCACCCACACACGTTATTAATAGCCTTGTTCACTTTTCCCAGGGCTTACACTACATGTTCCTGCTGCAGTCCCTGCTTTTTTTAGTTGTTATTGTTTAAGTTAGCATGCAGAGTAGTGAGTTTCATTATGACAGTTTTGTGATATATGCCATTATACCTTGTTTTTATTCAGTTGTTGTCTCCTTTTTGGTCTCTCCTTACCCTCCTTCCCCCCCCCCTTTTTTTTAAGATAAGATTTCTCTGTATCTCTAGCTGTCCTTGGAACTCACTCTGTAGGTTGGCCTTGAACTCAGAGATCCACCTGCTTCTGCCTCCCAAGTTGCTGGGATTAAAGGTGTGCACCATCATACCTGGCTTCCATTTTAGTCTTTTTAAAAAGACACCTCTTGATAAGCTTTCTAGATGTTCTTCCAGTGTACATATGTGAGTGCCTGCATATCTGTATATGTATCATGTTCATGCCTGGTTCCCATGGAGGCCAGAAGGGAATATCAGATCCCTCGGCTTTGTTGTTAAAAGCCTGTTGTAAGCCTCTGTGTGGATTCTGGGACCCACATTCTCTGCAAAGCAGCAAGTACTCTTAATGACTGAGCCATCTCTCCAGCCCCTCTATACGCTTTCTTAAAAGCAAAATTGTTATGGTACAGTAAGAAATTGGATGTAAGTATGAGATAGTTTCTGATAATTTCCACTAACTAGCTCTCTCTTGAGTACTGTACTATAACTAGTGTCCCTGTATGCCCTTGTTTGTCGTAAAGGGAAGAATAGTGATTCCCTAGATGTACACAGTCAGTCTCACCTTAGGAAAGGACAAAAAGACATCCAGGTCCCTGTAATCCCAGAACTTGGGAGGTAAGAGCCAGGGGGACAGGAGTTCCAGGTCATTCTGAGCTACACAGCAAGTTCAAGGCCAGCCTGGGCTACATAAAGTTCCATCTCAATGACTTTGCTCCCCTCTCCTGAAAAAGATTCTGCTTCATGGAAGTGGTGCTGCTAAGGACCCAGTTAATGTGTTAAGTTGAGGGGAAGGAAAGAAGCGAGTGCTACCAGTGCAGACATTATTGCAAGTGCCTGTATTTGAACATACTTGTTGAGCAGTCTGTTTTATCAGTGTCTGTTTTCACAGCATCCAGAGCTGTAGTGTTGAGACCCGATCCAGAGTGGTCAAGGGAGAGAACCCTCTGTACACAAACATAGGTTTATATGTCTCATATATACACGCACATGCATACATGCTTACTGTGTCTGTTTTGACTTTTCAAAGCTAGAGTTACTTTTGTCAGCATAATTCTACATAGCCTCTGTCACAGTGACATGGAAAGTATAAAAATGTCTTGCTAAATATATCTTAATTAAACCTGCCTTGTCACATCTTCTAAACCAAGAACTTTAAACCTCAAGCTTTTGATGATAGATTTAAGTACAAAACTATGGGAAGAACACTTGGCTCTGGGCTGGCAGGCTATGCACAGTGCAGAGTGGTTGATTAGCAAACCTGGTTCCGTTCCTGGTACAGAAATGACTGGCACCATCCAGATGCCACTAAAGCTGATGGCCTGAGCTTTTTTCCCAGAACCCACGTGGTGGAAGGAGAGAACCAGTTCTCACAAGTTGTCTTCTGACCTCCACACCTGTACACACACCTATAAATAATCTAAATAAATTCTTCTAAGCACTTTTTATAATTTTGAAGAATATCATAAGATAGTTGAAAGCAGGTAGGAGCTGTTGGTAGCGAGGAGTTTGTCAGGTGAGTGACTGAGCCTGCTCTTAACAGCCTTACAGCTTGGAAGGGAGGGCAGGCCAAAACAGGAAGGTTTGTTTCATAATCTTATTTCTGTCACAGAGGAAAAATCATTTTCAAGTAGTTAGAATTACTGTAAAGATATTGTTTCTAAAATACTAAAACTATCCATCCTATAATGAAGTTAATTTAAAATTTTAAAGTAACACCTTAACACTAAGAACCAGGCTCCTAATCCTTATCATGTTTGCCTTTGTGTGTGTGTGTCTGTGTGTCTGTGTGTGTGTGTCTGTGTGTCTGTGTGCCTGTCTGGGGACTCAACCCAGAATCCTGTTGAGGCTGGGCAAGTGTTCTAGCCCTGAGCTCCAGTATGTGTGTTTTCTGAGTTTGTCTGATGTCAATTAAAGTTGTTGACAAGGAAATATAATTGTAATAATAAGGCCCATTTATGCCTTGTATAATTATGTTCTATAGATGAAACTTGAAAAACAACCAAAGTGGATTTTGTTTCTTATTTAAAGCTGTTAGTTGTATGAGTACTTTTATGCCATTCAGAGGCATTTGATACTTAAAATTCAAGTTTTATTTAAGGTTTTATTAATGCTAGCAAGCAAATTAAGTACAACCATGTATAGAAATTAGTTCCAACTCCCATACACCAGTCATGGGCGATTCCCCACCCCCCAGCATTCTGTGCTTCATCCCTGGAACATAGAGCAGCAGGTCTACAGTTAGTTCTTGGTCATCTTAAAGGAACAGGAGGCCTGTTACAGGAAGGGATTACTCTGTGCCTAAACTTTTCTCAGCAAAACTGCTGCTGACGAGTGTCGAGACTTGAACCATGCTAACTTGTGCTTTTCGGAGTAGCATGTAGCTGAACACTGAAATAAGTGGCAGAAGACCAAGCCATGAGAGAAAGAGGAAACGATTTGATCCACAAACTCAGAATCTGTTTCCGGGTGTTTTGTTTTTCCCCATCTTCTGTGAAATGTTTGCTGGCTGCAGCTCTCTCCCACCACATTATAGTTACATCAGAGATGTGTCATCAGAGGCCATGTGCTGTCACCTAGTTTGTGACCTGCTTGGGAAGCAAAATGAGATGAGAATATATAGGTAGGGAGGAAAGAGTCTCTCCTGCCCTAAGTCCCATGTCTTTGGAAAGGGAGCCGATCTTTAAATTTCTAAAAATACTTCATTAGTGCATATTATGAGGCCAAAAAGCAGCTCAATTTCCAGCTTGGGATATTCTTTCACAAGTGAAAACAGCAGCCTGCAGAAAATATAAAATATGCACATTGAGAGCTAGCCTGATATGTTTGTCACCAACCCTAGTCACTGAAAGCTTCAAGTCCACATACATATACAAATGTAATTAACAACTGAGTGCATGAGTGTGTGTGTCCAGTATTGATACTTGATTTTTTTTAAATTCTTACTGAGAATAACCAGTAAAAGTTCAATTGTAGTTTTTCATTATTTTCTTTCAATTTTATACTAAAAACTTCTAAGTGGACATTTCAATATGACGGAGTTACATAAGCCGAGCATCTCCATGCACATAAGGAAAAATGCAATTATTTTCTATTCTGAGTCTCCAGACTGCTGTTTTAGAAAATCATATCTGATTATTTGCTCAGCAGAAGATTATTGAGTTGATTTAGCTGTGATTTTACTTAACAAAGCTTCAACTGCATTCCTACTGTGGAGTCCAAAAAAGGTAGAGAGATATAAATGATACATTCAAACTGTGATTTTTGTGAACAGGGCCGTCGATGCACCCCTCGGAGCTAATAGCGGAGATGAGAAACAGTGGGTTTGCACTGAAACGAAATGTACTGGGGAGAAACTTGACCGCAAACGATCCATCACAGGTAATGATCTTTTTATCAGTAAGCTGAAAATGTCTGGAAATCTAAATGTGATTGCTTGTGAATTGCTACTTAATGCTTTCCAATATGCATATATCCATAGGAAAGTAAGAGAGAGCAAAGAAAATGCTTTAAATGTATTTTGATTTTGCTTCTTTATTACTTTAACCTAAATGAGAAACTGTTTATAAACCTATATTTTAATAAATGAAATGGCTCCTTTGGGTTTATGTGGATAAAATGTCTAACTGAACTGGTGATAGGATTGTTTGTTCCTTCCTGCTAACACACCCTTGAAATGGCATTAAATGGAGCCAACAGAAAGAACTCTATAAACAGCTCCCTGAGCATTATACAAAAAGCCTTACTCATTAAACTCCACAAATTCAGAAAGCTAAGAGTTTTTAAACTTACTGCATTTTGTGCTTGTAAGAGCCTGTGCATGTATGTACCTGTTTGAGCACGCTCTGTGTGTGTGTGTGTGTGTGTGTGTGTGTGTGTATGTTTGTGTGTGTGTGTGTATCAGTGCAAATTAAGAGGAAAACTTGGAGGAATCAGTTCTCTCTACTATATGGTCATCAGGCTTGCTGGCAAGTGCCCTTATATACTGAGCCATCTCACTGGCCCTCGTTTGAGTATTAAAGGCTGTCTTATTGTATATTTCATACTAAATAACTGTAATATAAAGTTTAAAGTTACTGATATTTTGATCTAAGTTTCATGGTCTTCAGATTTGTGTGTGTGCTGCCGGGCTGGCACCCAGTGCTGTGTGCATGTTAGGCAAGTGTTAGTATGGAGCGGTAGATGCTTCAGGATGCTCTCAGTTTGATATCCCATTAAACTGAAGATGCTGTGTTTAGACAGTAAGTGTCCGAATGTTGAAGAGAGAACGGAAGCCTACTGTAAAGCTTCTGTCAGTATTCACCTTTTACTTCCTGATAGTTCCCAAGAATTGTAAAGCAGTTGTAAACCTTGCAGCCCACCTTCGCAGGTAGAACATACCTGTTTAAATATTCTAATCCCCCCACACTTCCCAGTCCAAGTACCATGCTATCTCTGGTATGTCTCGAACACAAAACTCTCAGCTACAGGTGTTTTCTTTTCTATCTAATAACTAACTTGTCAAAAATCTAACAATTGGATGTCTTTGTGGACTCAGGACTATGTCGCAAGTGATGGTGAAGAAGATCCTGAAGTTGAGTTCTTAAAGTCACTCACCACCAAACAGAAGCAGAAGCTTCTCAGGTAACTAAGGAATCTCTGGGACAGAGTTGTCTCTGGGGTTCCCTGGGCTCTGCATTCAGCTCTTCTGCAGAGAGCTCATGATGATGCCTGAGCTGTGCATTCCATGTATTGGTTGATTCTCAGCTGTAGGAATACAAATGTTGTCTTTTCAATAATTAGGAAATTAGTGTTTGTGTCCTCAGATTATACTACTAAGCTACGGTAGCTTTCAGAGTGTTTAATTTGAAAGTAGACTTATTTGTAGCTTTTCCTTTTCTTAATAAATCTGTGTATATCTTTGCACACTGCTTGTTCTTGGAAAATATTTTTACTTTTTTTTTCTTTTTTTAAATTTTGTGAAGTTTTATGAGGAATACTGAAAGAATGTTTAAATTTACAATAACGTTGAGTTTGTTAAACACACTCCACCTGGGCTAAAGAATTCAAGAATATGTACTGAGTCCAATAGAGGGCGCTCACCATGTTTCGGTAAATGGAAAATGATGTGCAGCTCCCAGTGCAGAATTTATCTTCCCAGACTGAAAGTTGACAACACAGTGGAGTTGCTCTGTTTCTAAAACTAGATAGTTGATGAGAACTAGTAGGTAATTATTTTATATAATAAAACATCAAAGAATATCCTAAATCAGAACTTATAGATAACACTCAGTTTTGATAATTAGTGTTGTTTTGGTTTGATTTGGTTTGACTTTGATTTTTCAAGACAGGATTTCTCTCCAGCCCTGGTTTTCCTGGTACTCAATCTATAGACCAGACTGGCTTTGAACTCAAGAGACGTACCTGCTTCTGCCTCCTGATTGCTGAGATTAAAGTTGTGTACCACCACTGCTGGGCAATAATATTAATTAATATTTCTGCACTTAAAACATATACAAGATTGACGGTGCATAGGCCCAATTAATGCTACACATCTTTCCCAAATTTTCTTTAAATCAGAGAGGCATTTTATTTAGAATGCTAAGTAATTTCATGCTCTGACTCAATATGAATATTTTATCAAAAGGATAAGTGATTCCCATTGAAGTATAGTTAGGAAGTTGGCTTAATTTAAATTCTACTCAATGTCTACATGCCTGAATAATTTAAAAGGAAGAAAATGGTTTATCATGAAATAAAGTAAATAATGTGTTTAGTTGTGGACACCATTTTTAGTAGCAACTAAGAAGATGTAGTCTGTTGACAGTTTCTCTTTTGTTGATGAAAGAACTATTTCTTTCCAACTACAGGAAATTGGATAGACTTGAAAAGAAAAAAAAGAAAAAGAAAAGTGATAAGAAAAAGAAGAAGTTACAGAAGAGCAAAAATAAACACAAAAAACGTAAAAACAAATCTCCTTCCTCTTCCTCCTCCTCTTCCTCCTCCTCTTCCTCCTCCTCTTCCTCCTCCTCTTCCTCCTCTTCCTCGGAGACTTCAGATAGCAGCAGTGAGAGTGATAACAAAGCAAAGAAAAGAGAGAAAGAGAAGAGGAAGAAAAAGAAGAAAACCAAATGTTCTGGAAGTAAATCCAGTGACTGTAAGGAGGACAAGTCTAAGAACATGCTTTATGAAGAACTTTCTAGCAGCCATAGTGACAGGGGAACAGCCCAGGAAAAATTAAGGCTTCTAAAACAAGAGAGTTCTGGGGAGAATAGCACACGGGTCTATTTTGCTTCTGACCGGAAATCCAGAAGCCACAGGCACAGTCCAGAGAAAAAAGGGTCTGACAGAAACGGGGGAATCCGAAGTCGTAGCCGTGCTGAGAGCAGCAGGCGAAGCCGAAGCAGGAGTCCTTGCAGTCAGAAGCACGGGGAGGTGAGGAGCCGGCCACACCGGAGCCCTAGTGAAGAGCAGAAGGGAAGAAAGGGGACCGGAAGCCGTGGTGATGATGACCATAGAAGAGAGCGTGCGCGCTGAGCACCCAGGCGATAAAAGGAGCGGCAGCAGGCTCAACAGAGCTCCAGAGCAACCCCCTGGGCATCAAGACCATCTTTAGCAAGGGCTAACGTGCATATTGTTATCTAATAAAAAGAAGTCAGTTCATTTTCCATCTCTGTAAACTGTCATTTCAAGTCTTTAAGCACCGGTGTGCCACAAGCTTAAGTTTGCAGATATTTGTGGGGAATTTATTTAGGGTTTAAAGTGGTTTTGTTTTGGTTTTTGTTGTTGTTGCTGTTTTTTTGTTGGTAGTTGTTTCTTCTGCCTTGTACCAGATTTAAAATATATAAGTAATTCTGTGATTTTGTTGTTGTCTTGAAACACCATTAAAACAGTGACAGAATCTTGAATAATTATCAATTCAAATTTGTTATTTTAAGATTTGAATTTGCTTGAAGCAAAATGTAATCACTGTTGAAATTGACTAGGGCGAATAAAGCACTGGATATCGATCAGCATTTCCTTAAGACTTTAAAAGAGTATGATATTTATAAGTGGATATTCTGTTATTTGTCTATGTTGGCATACAGGATCACTTTAAACTTAACAGCTGTGAAAATAAGAATTCTGACATAGGTCTCACTAGGATAATAATGAAGGCATGAGTAGAATTGTCTTCCTTCTGAAAATTTATGTTGCCCAGTCTTGATGTCTGGCCCCCTTTTCTAACAAAAAGGACTCCCATGTGTCCATGTCCTGGGCTGGATCTGACCCTAACTCTGCATCCTCCTTTACTTGCTAAGGACCCTTGTGAGGATAGCAGGTCCCCCTGAGGGGCCCAGAATCATCCACATTGAGATCAACTGATTATCAACCTTAATTTTATCTGCACCTGTAACATATTCATGGCTTCGAGGGGTTAAAAACATATGTCTTTGGGGGACAGAGGGAGTGTTAGTCTACCTCCCTCCCACAGTAGCCTTTCCGGTTGACATTACAAGGTTTTTCTTCAGGAAGTAATACAAAGAAATAATATTACAAAGAAATAATGTAAACTAGATATATTGTATTTAGAGGTATATGCTGGGAGTAGGTTTCCTCTTTGAGACAGGGTCTTACCATCACCATGTAGCCCTTGCTAGCCTGAAACTCACTATGTAGACCAAGGCAATATACAAAGTGTTTTATTTTCTAACTTAGCTATAGATGTTGCCATATGTTCCGAAGGATTGATAAAAAAGAAAACTATGGAAAATTTTAATAAATTTTTAGATAATATGTAACTAATTTTTTTTGCATATTGTGAATTTCTTTTAAATCAGGGTTTTGTTTTTGTTTTTTTTTTAAGCATCTCTTGTCTAGTACAAAAATGATTTCGTTGGCCATCACAATTTCCAAGTTCTGTAAGAAAATAAATTTGGAAGGAGTTAAAACTATTCCATTTCTAGTACTTGTCTATGCACACCACAAACAGATGCCCTGTGATGTGGCTGCATCGACGATGTAAATAGTTCTTTGATTATGCATATGAAGGAAGCTAGAGAGGAACTGAACTCCTTCCCCATATCCTCTACTGTCTCGGCACACCTCACATCCTACTCCTTCACTTAGAAAAGCATGCATTTGAAATTGATAAAGGCTAATTTACACCGAGTTCATCAGTGTCGCTGTGATTATTTCCTGCCGTACACCTTTTTAGACTTTATAATTTTTGTAATGTCAAAACCTATGCAATACTTACTGCCTTAAAAGAGGGTTCCAAACCAATATAGTGTTCATGAAGAAAAACGTTGAAATGCATCCTATAATTAAGAATGAATTAAAGAAATACACTTTCTCATACTTTCGACTTTCACCAAAATGTGATACCACCCTTGACTTTGTAAGGTAGCCCCTACGTTTTTTATTTTAATCATTGATTTAATCCTTCCTGTTCAGAATATTAAGCCATAAGGGAATAATTTTAAAAGGTCTAATCGTACCCACCCAGTTCTGAGAGACATTTCCCAGTGGTTACAGATCATTTGCAGTTTAGGTTCGGGCCTTGGCCACCCACAGATGCTAGACAACCGCAATGGGCCTGCTCTGACTTACAGACAGAAGGGGAGGCATTCACACACACACACACAAAACATGAAACAACAGCCTTCCCTAACTCTGTCTGTGCTGATGATGCTGAGGGATGAGACCGAGCATGACCTTTAAAATACTAGGCTTCTAGTAAGTAGCCAAAGAAGAATCCTCTAAAATCAATGAATCCAAACGAAACTCCACAAATCCAGACATGAAATCATTCTTCTTACCCTCAATAGAGAAAATCTTTTAAATAAATCTGGGTACGCGTCGACATTTTTCCCCCCTCGGTGTGGACCTGTATGCAAAGGTACTGGACAAATTTTAAATTTTAGGGACATGTTCCAGTTCTCCCTAGCCTCCTTTAACACAACACTGACGTAATAATTCCTGTAGGAGGCACTGTCGATTTACAAATGACCAGGAAAAAGAGGGTTGTTAGATTGGGGTTTGTTTATCTGGATGTCTACATAGTAAATTAGTCATAATTTCTTTTAATAATTGCCCAAATAGGCAGAAGTTGCTGCGACATAGCGGCAGGAAGGCTCACCTTGCAATGTGACATGAATCTTGCCTGAATCATGCAGTTGGAATATGAAGAAAGCTTTGTATCTGAAAGGTTGTGGAGAGATCTTTCTTCCAGATGCTTCCATGAGGCCACAGGATCCGATCAGTACCGCTGTTGGAGCGGCCTTTCTCGATTTCAATCAAAATTTAGATCCGCACAGGCTATTTTTATGCTTCTGACCTAATGGCCAAGATGGTGGTGGCGGCCTCTCAGGAAGGCCACATCCTCCACACCCTGTGCTTACGACCGAGGAGCAAGCTAAACAAATACTTTCAATCTTGTTTGAGTGTTCTGAGAAGATAAATTTTACTAGTTACCACTTCCTGACAAGTGTTAACTGGCCTGCAGTGATGGCCTTTGCAGCAGGGTCAGATCTGAAAGTGCCCAGAGAGCTGAGTGCTTCCCTGACTTGAAGTTTCTACTACTTGGTTCCTAAGGCAGAAGAGGGAGCAGATAATTCTTATCACCTTCCTTCCCTCCTCACTTCACCTCACACTCAGCACCCCAGAGCCCCACAGTGTACCTCGTACTGTAAAGAAATGCGGACTGAGAAGGTCTGATTGCGATAGATTTAACCGAACTGCCCCTGAGTCGCCTACCGGTGACTGAAGACATGGAAAACTCTGGCCCTTGCTTGGCAGCGGCTTTGGGGTGCCGAGGCCTTCGGAATGGATCAGATCTCCAGTTGAAAGGGTATTGCACAGAACCCAAAGGAAGCAGAAGGCTGAGGGAGAATGATAGGCTGAGTCCTGATCAGGTGTCGCTAGGCCATCCTTAGATGCCAAGGCACCCAGCATTCTCTGGGACCTGTCCGGGATTCTCACCTGGCAACACAGCACACGGAGAGAAGCTGGGAATTTGGGGGCGCACAACAGCCCAGCTTCCTGTCCACAAGCGTTCCAGAAAGGGTCAGCTTAGCTCTTTGCATGGGTCCCCTGGCGCTGGCCCGCCGTGGCCCAAACCCAGCCAGAAGATACTCCCAGGCCCCTCGGCGAAGCTGCGAGCCAAGGAAGCTGCTCGGCGCCCTCGAGGACCTGGCCCTTGCAGCTCTATCCCTGCTGAAGCTTGCCCGGCCTCCCGCGTGTGTTCCCTGCGCGGGTCGCAGGGCGCGCTCGCCCGCCGTGGCTTGGAAGGCAAGAGAATTTTTCTGCTCGCTAGGGCTCCACAGGTGAAGACTGCGCTTCGGGAAGCCAATACTAATCTCTAGTTCCTGGCGCAAAAGAAGAAAATACCAACTCTCCTAGCAATCTACAAAAAGAAAGCGGACTGAGGGAGTCACACCCTATCCCTGCATTTCTTTCATCAATGAATCACCCACGAAGTGGCAAGATGCCTGCGAAACAATGCAAAACCCCCAGTGAATTTCCAAAGAAAAAGAAGGCTACCGTCTGGGAAAACCTACAGCTCAAACGTTAAGCTTTCCCGGATCCTGGCCAACTGACTCTGGAGGAATGTGTCCCCACGGACATTTAGAAACCTTAACTCGAGTTCCAAACACCGTACATATTCATACCAATAATATATGGGGAGGCAAGTCTGTATGTATTTACCTCATACATATTTCTATAAACTCCAGCGTCTGGAAAGGGTGGGGGGTAAATAGCACTGAACGGTTAAAATTATGGAGAAGGGATAATAACTGATTACTAATTTGAAAGTAAATAAACAGGTGACTTTTTCAGATCAAATTCCTCCTTGGATCGTTACAATAAATATCTCTGAAGGAAGCGCTCTATTTATGTTGTCATTGATTAATTCTTCACTACCTCATTTGATTTCGATTTAGAACGATTTGATTCTAATTTAATTAGCATGTAATTTGGATGTACATAATTACTGTAATTATGACATTCAGGTAAGGCAGCTTTAGGCTGAAAGGCAATTTCAAATTTTCTAGCAACCTACTTTGTACTGGGAAATGGACAAGGACTTTGCGCCCTGCTATCCAAGTAGTAATTAGCACATCTTTGAAATAGGCAGTGCGGCGGGGTTTGTATTAAAACAGCAAATACAAACCCAGCCTAGTACCCGCTACAAAGGTGGCTGTTGAGTTCCCAGAAGCGCGCTGCATTTTTCTGGCTTGAGTTTGGGGAGCCGGGCACCCCAGAACCTCATCTCCTTGCTTACAGCTTCGGCAGACTGCGTTTCTTTCCTCCTCGGGCGAACGCCGGGTTGGAAGGTGTCGCTTTTTAAATTAAAATACAATAACTGCTGAAGGGGGAGGGGAGAAAGTCGCTACAGCCGTCTAAAGCTTGTGGATGGGGGAGGGGTAGTGGACTAGGAAGAGGAGGGAAGGGGGCGGCGGGAGGCAGGGCGATGCACAGAGAAGAGAAAATTGGCCAACGCCCCCAACTGTTATCTCATTTCAGATTTGGGTTTCGCAAAGGCGAGGACAAAGGGGGTGGGTCTGTTCTGGGAGGGGGTGCGCACCCGTCGAGAGAGCCGGGGCGAGGGCTCTGGGGGCTCCTGGTCGCCCTCTGGAACCCGGCCGAGCTGTCCCGCCTCGGCTGCCCAGATGCCCGCTGCGCCCCTCTCAGAGCACTGAGGCCCTGCAGAGGTCTGTTGAGGTGCTCGGTGGGTCCAGGCAGGCCGTAGCTGTGTGACTCTGGGTTTCCCTTCTATCCTAGGGGTTCTGGAAACCTGAGGAGGTCTTGGTGACCTGGGTAGTCCAGGCAGACCCCATGGTCCCTCAGCCCTGGGTCCCAGGACGCTGGGAGAAGTGTGCGAGGCAAGCTGTGCCCACCGCGGGGTCTCTATCCAGGGTACACGTCGCTGCCGCTACCGACAACGCTCAGCGTTTTCATCTAGGAGTGCTGGAAGACCCTGAAATCGCCTAGGAAAGAATGCTAAAAAAAAACGAGACAATGAAAGAAAGCTGGGTCCAGGGCCAAGCGGGGTGGTAGTCTGTTTTGCTTGGATTTTTCAGTAAGTGTGTTCCAGAAATAATCCTCTTCCCTTGGAGCCATTGCTAGGCAATGTCCCCTCAAAACAGGGCTTGTCCCCAGCTAAAAAAACACAAAACCTCGCTTTTCTTTGCCTGATTCCCTGGGCTGTCGGAGTTCACGACAGAAGCAGGTCTCCAAGCGCTAAAAGCCAAGCGCCGGGCCGACAGCGCGGACTCCTATGCAGGAGCTCTAGATGGCGCCAGAGAGCCGCATTCGCCGTACGCCTCTTGGGGGAATCAAGAGCTACTGTCAAACATAAAAGCAAATCAGAGTTTTCAGTTTTTTTTAATGTGTTAAGAATGTTATTCCTTAAGAAAATTTGTAGCTAAATTATTCTCACTTAAAATAAACACTTAGTATACCAATTACACAAATGGGCGGGATTTATGTGAGATTTACTTCATCTGCATTTTTGTAGTGGAAGAGAGCCTTGGTGAATACAGATAATAGATGCAAATAAGATTAGAGTTAAAATAAATAAAGTTTCCATGTGAATAAAAAGAAATTCAATTTTACACGACTGGTGACGATTTGACGGAATGTCCAGACACGCGGTTCAGGTGCAAAATCTAATCTCATCCAAATGTTTTCAAACGTCCTTGAGGAAAGGGAAAAAAATTTTTTTCTACTTTTTTCCTCATCAGGTAGGACCCGGTGGGTCCTCCAAAGAGTGAGGGTAAATTATACCAAGAAAGAAAAATGCTAGGGAGGGTGTGGATTAGGGCCGGGTAGGCGCAGACCCAACAAACTTGGTCCTGGTTCATCTACTGCGAGGGAGCTGGAAACAAGAAATCCCTGGAAACTGGCTGAAACGAAATTGCATTTCCCCTCACCCCGGCGGGGGCGGGACTCCTGGACCCTGATCTCAGTCAGCCCCGGCTTCACAAAATTCACTTCCAGGCGGCAGCCCTCATTCCCAGCGTGGACTCCCCATCTACTCTACCCAGGACCCAGTTAGGCCCAAGCCGCGGGAATGCGGAGGTGGCCCCGGGGAGGCGCAGCCGCACCTCAACTGGGGACCCAGCTGGTATCCTCGGACCTCGCCTCGGGTGCACGCTCTCTTCCAAT